AAACTTCTTCAGACATTCCCCAATTGATGAGCATCCATCCCCTCAATTTCCTATTATTTGCCACCACAAAAGGAGCTGTCATAAATATTTTTGTACATGTAGGTTCTTTCCCCTTTTTAAAAATCTCATTTCCTTTTTCTTTGATCTCTTTGGTATACAGATCTAGTAATGGTATTGTTCGGTCAAAGGGTCATACTCATAACCCTTTGGGCATAGTTCCAAATTCTTCTCTAGAATGATCGCACCAGTTCAAAAATTCCACTAACAGCTTATTAGTGTACATCCCCTCTGTTGGTCATTTCAGAAAGATTTGAGTTGTTTTAAATTGCATTTCTCTAATCACTAGTGATTTAGAACATTTCTCATATGACTTTAGATAGCTTTGATTTCTTCTGAAAACTTCCTGTTTATATCCTTTGATCATTTATCAATTAGGGAATGGCTGCTATTTTTACAGATTTGACTCAATTCTCTATATATTTGAGAAATGAGGCCTTTATCACAGAAACTTGCTGTAAAATTTTTTTTATATTACTTCATTGTCTATGTCATTGTCTTTTAGCAAAATGTAGTTTCCCTGTTTATTTTTTTGACTTAGGTTTATTTTTTCTTTTGCTTTGTCTGGGATCTGATTATTACCCCTGCCCTTTTCACTTCAGCTGAAGCATAATAAATTCTATTCAATATTTTGTTTTAACTCTGTGCTTGTCTTTCTGTTTCAAGAGTATCTCTTATAAACAACATATTGTTGGATTCTGGTTTCTAATCCATTCTGCTATCTACTCCCGTTTTATGAGCGAGCTCATCCCATTCACATTCACATACCAACCTTCTGAGTTTGTTTCTTGGTCTTCCCTGCCACCACAGTAGCTTTTTATGGTCAGGTTCCTTTTTTGTAGCCACAAGTGCTAATGATCCTCTCTGCCTTGGAAAGTTAACCAGGTCCCTACTCCTTTGTGACTGACCACAAGTGCTTTTCTCTGTCCGGGAATTGCAACCCAGAACTGTGTATGGGGAATACAGCACTCAGTCCTGTACCCAGTCCCAGCAAAGAGTCCCCCTGTAATCTCTTTCTACCAGTTGACTGACCCCTTTATGGCTTCTGGGCTGAGAGCTTCTGAAGCTGCTGCTGCTACCGCTATCATGGCCATCTCCAAGGCCGACTACTGTTGCTGCCATTTCAGGCACTGTAGGCCAGCTTCCAACCCAAGTGTCACAGAACTCTCCTGAAAACCTCCTAAGTTATCTTAGACTGGAAAAATGTCTCACCCTGACATCTTTTGGCTCTCCTGCTCCAAAATTTGATTTGAGGTATAATTTTAAAGTTGTTTGGAGGGGCATGTTGGGAGAATTCAGTTGGGTTGTTGCCTCAACTCTGCTATCTTGGCTCATTCTGAGGAGCTTACAGTTTAATGGAAAAAAACCTATACATGTACACACAAGTAAATACAAAATATACACAAGTACTCTGAGGAGAGAGCCCTAGCAACTGGGTGGAACAGAATAGGCCTCATGCAGCACTTGATTTGTGTCTTGAAGGAAGCTAGAGGTTCTAAGAGGAAGAACTAAGGAAAAAGGGCATTCCAGGCATTGGATACAGCCAATCCAAAGGCACATAGACGGGAGATGGCATGTTGTGCATGAAGAACAGTAAGCAGGCCAGTTTTTTTGGACTATACAGTATGTGAAGGAGAGTTATATGTAATAAGTCTGGGAAGGTAAGTTGGGAATTTGTATTATTATTATTATTATTAGCCACAGGAGCTCCTTGTATAGTGGTATAACATGGTCAGACATATACTTTAAGACAGGAGGGGGGAACTTGGAGCCTCGAGGCCACTTGGCCCCAAAGCAACAGGTTCCCCACCCCTGCTTTAGGAATATCAATTTGACAGCTATGTGTAGGATGAACTGAAGAGGGGAGAGAATTGAAGGAGGGAGACTAATTAGAAGGTTATTGCTAGTGTCCAGGAGAGTGGTGATGATGACTGCCACTGGGGTTGGTGTCTGTATGAGTAGAGAGAAGGGAATAGACAAGAGAGGTATCATGGAGGTAGAATTGACAAGACTTAGTGACTGATTGGATATGGAGAACAAGGAAGAGTCCAGAGTCGAGGATGAAACCTGACAGATGGCAATACTTTCACATGAAACAGGAAAGTTAGAAAGTGACTGGGTGGGTAGGGGAGGAGGATGAAGAATAACTTTTGTTTTGGACATGTTGAGTTTGAGATGCCTAAGGGGCAGCCAGTTGGAAATGTCCAATAGTCAGTTGGCCATGCAGGACTGGAGCTCAAAACAGAAACTCAAATCAGCGAGCCGTATGCATAGAGGTGATAATTGAACCCATAATATCACCAGAAGAAAGAGTGAAAAGAGGAGGGCCCAAGAGAGAGCCTAGAGGGATATCCCCTAGCTAGGAGACAGGATGTAGGTTATGATCTAGCAAAGGGGAACTAAGGGAGAACAGTTTGACCAAAACTCAGAGAGGAGTGAGGATGTGAGATGGTGGGAGAGAAAACACTATTTAACATAACAGAGAAGTCAATAAGAATGAAGACTGAGAATAGGTATTTGGTAATTAAGAGATCCCTGGTAACTTGGGAGAGAGGGGAGAGATTGAACACCAGCTTACAAAGGACTGAGAAGAGTAAGAGTAGAAGAAATGGAAGCGATGAGTGTAGATAGCTTTTTCCAGTTTGGTAGAGATGTGGAAGAGGAGTATGAGATGATAGATTGAGGGGATGCTGGGGTCCAGTGAGGATTTTTTTATCAGGATGGGGGAGATGAGAGTGTTTCTAGACAGAAGAGGTCAGGAGCTGAAGTGGAAAGGAAGATGAGAGCCTTCAGGTACTGACCTTCTTGAGAAAAGAATGACCTGGTGATTGGTAGATAGCTGCTACAAAAGAGTCATTTGTGTCTTAGGCACCAAGATGGCACAGTGGATATAGTGCTGTGCCTGGAGTCAGGAAGACCTGACTTCAAATCTGGCCTTAGACACTTACTAGCTGTATGGCCATGGGCAAGTCCCTTAACTGCGCTCAGACTCAGTTTCCTCATCTATAAAATGCTAATAATAATAAGCACTTACTTTCTAGGGTTATTATTAGGATCAAATGAAATAACATTTGTATAGTGCTTTGCAAACCTCAATACAGGCATTTTTTTGGTAATAATGGCTATAGTAATACTTCTGGGATTGACACTTTTGTGACCAAGATATCCCCAAATAAGGCTATCATAGAGAGTGAATCTGCCTGCATTTGCTCTTGGGGACATCCCTACCATTAACCAGGCAGTGGCTCAGTGAGCCCACAGTATTGTCAATGTGCCTGTTTTAAGCAAATCTCATATAGTCCAGTAAAATTCTTCACTTTACAAAAAAATACATTAATGAGTTTAATTCACTTTAATAACTATTTAGAGAATGTCTACTATGTGGCAGAGTCTCTTCTAGGTGGTGAAGATACAAATAGACAAACTAACTAGTCCCCACCTCACACAGGACCTCATACATAGTATGTGTTCACTAAATGTCTATTGGTTATTTGTGGAATAAATGAATGGATAGCAAACTCCCTGGATTCAAAACGGAATTCAATTTATAAAAAATTGATTCATGTAATTTTTCTGGAGTACATGTGTTGCAAAAAACAAAGCACAATAGGAATTGTGCACTGTGCTAGCCAGAGGAAGAGACTAGGTCCCTGCCCTCCAGAAGCTCTTCTTAAGGACTTGTTTTCTACAATTAATTTTTGTCCTTCGTTTTCCAAGCTATTGACTCTCTCTCACATACCTCTCATTTCTTTTCCCAATTTTTTGTCTACTTTCTTATTTGACTTTTAAAATCCTTCTTGAGCTCTTCCAAGAAGGCTTTTGGGGCTTGAGACCAGTTCATATTCCCTTTTGAGGTTTCAAATGTGGGTATGTTGACAGTGTTGTCTTCTTCTGAATTTGTGCCTTGATCTTTCCTTTCCTCATAATAAGAATCTATGGTCATTATCTGTTTCTGCTTTTAGTGCATGGTGTTTGCCTATTTCTTAACTTTAAAAAAAAAAAGTCGAGCTCTCCTAGAGCGAAGGGAGCACTTACCCAAGCTTCTTTTCTTGCTCACCTGGGCCTTGCACAGGGATGTTTTGCTGCTGACGGATGTCTATCAGCCTGGAGTTGTGCTTCCCAGAGTTGTGTTGAGGCACTGGGTGATTTGGCTGCTGGAGAGTACCATGGCCTATGGTGATTTTCCAAGCTGGTGTCTACTGGTTCCCCTGCCAGTATTGAGGCTCTGAGGGGTGGAAGGGTCCTGGTGTTGGTATTTGCCTGCTCCACCAACCTGCGTCTCAGGATCTCTCCCTGGTATGCTGAGATGGGTCTTGCTGCTGGCTTGCTGGGACGCCTCCCATTCCTGTACTGTTTCCCCTTCCCCAGAGTGAAAGGGGTCTTTCCTTTAAATCCCCCAAACTTCCTTGGCTACAAGACTGCAGTGCTCTGTCTTTTTGCTGTCTCAGGTTTTTTCCTGGGTCAACATTTTCTGGGTTTTCAAAGGTCAATAAAGGAGGGTAAGAGTGAATTACTTCTTATTCCACCATCTTGGCTCCTGGAAGTGGAGCTTCTAGAAGCTCAAAATTGAGCTGGGGAGACAAGATATATACAGATGAAAAACACTTAAGACCACATAGGAGAGAGAATATACCCTGGGACTCTTTTGAGCAGAGGAAAGAATGGGAAGAAGTTGCAAAGAGGAAAATCTAGGTCTGATAACAGGAAATCTTCCTAAAACTTAGAGCTATCCAAAAATGGAATGGGCTATGTTGGAGATGATGAGTTCCTTCTCCATGGAGATCTTCAAGTATAGGTTGGATGAACACTTGTTGGACGTGTTACCATGGAGATTGGTTTGGGGTTCGGGTTGAACTAAATGGCTGCTGAGGTCCCTTACACCCCTCAAACTGTTCATGTGATTCTATGAAAGAACCTTAAACTAACCTTTGCTCTTTTGGCAGATCATGTATGAAATGACCGTCTGGACAGGTGATATCGTTGGAGGTGGCACTGATTCCAACATTTTTATGACACTTTATGGAGTCAATGGGAGCACGGAAGAAGTGCAATTGGATAAAAAGAAAGCACGGTATGTAGAGGCACTAGCCACTGGTATTCTGCAATTGGTCCCGTCCTACCTCTGCTCTTATCTTGTCATCTACTGCTTCTTTCTACACATCCTTGACTCCAGTCAAATGGGTCACTTTCCTATTCCTCTCCAAATACCTGTCCAGTACTGATTCTACATCTTTCTTCATGCTATTGACCTTGTTTGGAATGTCCATTAATCAATTGCTCAATCACCAAGCACTTATAAAGTACTTACCACGTGTCAGGTACCACACTAAGTGCTGGGGACACAAAGATAAAAATGGAACAGTCTCTGCCCTCAAGGATCTTACATTCTATTGGGCAAAATAACATTTCCATACCAGCAGGGGTGGGAGTTGAGGTGGGATGTGTCAGGAAAGGGCAGCTACCCTTAGCCATATCTTAACTTCTTTTCAAGGAGCAGCTCAAAGTCTCACCTCCTTCATGAAGCTATCCCAGAAGGACCTCTTCCACCTCTGAGATCCTATGGCACTGATAATAACATTCATTTGGTTCTAATCCTATGCTGCCTTGTACTGACCTTCATTTTTCATATTGGTATAGTTCATCTCCCCATCTAGACTATAATCTCTTTGAGTACAGGGTAAAAGAAACTCCCAGCTTGGAACATACTGGGCTTCTGGGGTGGGGGTAGGGTGTGAGTCTGACCTTTTTTCACTCTATTCCATAGTATTTCAATGCAGTCATACCATCTGTTCCACCCCAGGTACACCAGGGTAGTGCTAGAGCTAGGCTGGGCTATAGGTGGAATCAGCCACTACCTTAAATGGTTACCCAGTTTCAGTTAACCAGGAAGTTTCAGCACCCTAAGTTTTTTCCAGCCATGTTCTTGGCTGAACTGGAAGTTCCACTGTCTTGTCTTCATCTCTCTATCTTAAAACTTTGCTCTTCAGTGAAATAAATGTCCACCACCAAAGGAAAGCTGCTCTGGGATTGGGCAGTCACTGGTTCAGCATTTTAAGGCCTTTCCTGAGAGTGGGAGGAGGGGAAGGAGGCCAGAGGGAAAGGATACTGGCAGTTGAGAGGGGCCATGCAAAGGAACAAATAGAAACTTGGGGTTATTGAATACAAACTCCTTGGGCAACTCAGTCTTGCTCTATCACTGCCCCAAAGCTCCCCTTCTTAGGAGGAGTATTAGCAAGCAGAGGTTCTTCTCCAGTGGTTAGAGAACCAAATCCTTCAGGTGCAGTGAATAAAGCCTCCCCACCCAAGGCTGACAGAAGAACTTAGCTAAACCCACCCCTGCATTCTCAGAGCCCAAGAGAAAACTGAGAGGTTGGAAGTGAGGGGTGGAGTCAATTCTCCTGCAGCCACAAAAGAAGGATGTGACTAATGTGCAAAAGAAATGAAACAAGGTGGCAAGGAGTCACCCACATGACAAGGGAGTATTCTGTTCCATGAAGGGGCAAAGTGAGCTGGGACTTAAATGAATTTCATGAAGTAATGATGAGTTAGAGTAAAATTTAAACTGCTCCTCTTTAAAAAATAGATTTTCCTCCCCCTTCTCTTTGCTAGAGGGGTGTGTGTGTGTGTGTGTGTGTGTGTGTGTGTGTGTGTGTGTGTTTGAAGGCAAATGAAGACTAAAAATTTCCAGGACACCTTCTACAAACAAAGCTTTATGATCTTATATTTTTTGAGTGGGTAATTAGTTTGTGGAAACTATCAAGGCAGACAATATTCACCTTAATCCATATGAAGCCCCATCTAGTGATGGGGGATTAGTGAGCAGCACTTGGCCTCACTACACTGTACTGCTCTTTGTGGTCTCTTGCCTCTTAGAAAGAAAGAAGGTGAGAAAATACAAACATATGGGAAGTAAAATAAGAATTCAAAAAGATCTGTGGCTTCATTGGTAAAGTTATTCTATCCACTGACAGATTAAAACCTTCCTACTCATACTTCTTGGACGGTCTTTGTGAGTTGCTGTCACCACAATCCAGTCTAGGAACTTCAAATTCCTCATCTGTAAAATGGGGATAAGAATATATGCATTGCCTACAGCAGAGTTTCTGTGAGGATCAAATGTACTAATGTGTAGAAATGGTTGTGTAATTAGAAAGCATCTAGAAATATTGTCTGATTATTATTCTCCCCATGTGCACAGGTTTGAACGAGGACAGAATGACACTTTCGTTATGGAGATCGATGACATTGCCCCATTCACAAAGATGCGGATGCGGCTAGACGGGCTGGGCAACCGACCAGAGTGGTTCCTGGACAAGGTAACAGATGAGCTGGAGTCCACCACCACACCTCACTTACCATACCCTTTCTGCTCAGTCTCTTTGCTCTCTCTCTACCTCTCATTGGGCTCCTTCTTAGCATTATCATCTCCTCATAGAGCTATATTGCCCCTACCCTGAAACCTGACTCTGCTCGCAAAGTTGCTGCCCTTTCTCTCCTCATTCCTCCCCAGCAGCTGTATGATCTGGTACTTCTTGCTTGGAATGTTGCTTTCCACATTGAGATATATATATATATATATATATATATATATATATATATATATATATATCTCATATATATATCTCATCACCAAGAGGTTGTTCACCAAGTGATAAAGTTTTTCCAGTAATGGAAATAAACTATCTACCCAGGCAAGAAGGAGCTACAGTCCACGTCGGTGGAGGGAATATTCACACCAATAAAGTGAGCGTGTATGTATGTGAAGATATTATATTATGTGATGCTATATTATATTATGTTATATTATAGGGCAGCTAGGTGGCGCACAGGATAGAACATTGGGTTTGGAATCAGGAAGACTCATCTTCCTGAGTTCAAATCTGGCCTCAGATACTTCCTAGCTGTATGATCCTGGGCAAGTCACTTATACCTGTTTACCTCAGTTTCCTTATCTGTAAAATGGTCTGGAGAAGGAAATGGCAAATCACTATTTCTTCCAAGAAAACCCCAAATGGGTTCACAAAAAGTCAGACCCAACTGAAACAATTCAACAACATGTTATATTATATCATATCACATCACATCACACCTTATATTATATTATATCATATCATATCATATCATATTATCTCATATTATAATCGTATCATGCAAGTAGGTGGTATAGTGGATAGAGCACCAGGAAGGCCTAGAAGTCAGGAAGACCTGAGTTCAAATCCAGCCTTAGGCATTTACTAGCTGTCTGACCCTAGACAAGTCACTTAACCTCTATTTGCCTCAGTTTCCTCATCTGTAAATAGCACCTACCTCCTAGGGTTTTTATGAGAATCAAATGAGATAATATTTATAAAATGCTTAGCACACTGCCTGGCACATAGTAGGTCCTATATAAATGCTAGATATTATTATTCTATCATATCATATTGTGTCATGTCGTATTGTACCATATATCATATCTTATTATATTATGGCATCATATCACATTTTATATTTACATATTTACACAAGTGCCTTTTCCTCCTGCACTAACGTTCTCTTCTGATGCCATGCTGTGGCTGGGTGGTGACCCTGGGATCCAAAAGGCTCTCAGCAGAGCACAAGTCCTGGTAGGTCCCATCAAGCTGAAATGTTTCAAGTATGGACTGGTAATAGGCTCTGTATCATCAGCAACTCAAGGGACAACCTAACAAAATTTAGGGAGACTTACCGCAGAGCTGGACACAGGGCAATAGGATTTCCAGCCTTAGCAGCTTTCAAAGACATTCTACAAGGTTATAGGATTGTGATCTGCTTTGCTGGAAAGACTACCCATACCAACAAACGGTCAGATTCTTGAAGGATGGAAGTATACACGTATGTATGTGTATATGGATACATATATATATGTATATATGTACCTGTATATATACATGCATATATACATATGCATACACATATGTATATGTGTATGGTTTTGTTCCAGACCTATGATTTTAACTATTTGGAGGGCTCTTGTTGAGAAAGCACCCTTTACCAGTTCAGATCAGCAACTATTCTTCGACTTATCCCACAACATCATCTGGGGGCACTGAGAGGTTAGCTAAGTTTCTCAGGGTCACACAGCTAGAATGGGGAAGACCTGGTACTTGTCCATGTCCTGCTGCTGCCCAGATTAGCTCTCTACCCTCTTCTTTCTGCTAGATCTCTTATGTATGATGTGTGTATATTAACCAAATTATCAACAAGTGTTTAATATGGTAGGCACTATGTTAGGCTCCAGAAATACAAAGACAAGAATAGAATAGTTTCTGACTAAAGGAACTTATATCATACACACACACGCTTCGTACTAAGATACAGAAGTGATTCCTACATATGTGTACGTCTAATTCGTATTAAGAAGACATATATGTTATATATATATTTATATAATATGAATATAAGCATATATACTTCTCCATATATACAAAATAGTGTCCCAAACATCCTAGTATAGTTTTGGAACACCCTATTTTGGAACACCATCTGTATATTTCATATTAAGATGTTAATGGTTTATAAGAATAGATTGTCATTTTTCCTGGGCAAAATTTATGTTTTAGGAGGGGGTTAATGCCTTAATAGAGCAGTAAAATTCTGGGGTACATCAGCAGGTAGGTGAGGGAAAATATTGTGTTGACTGCATACAAGTTTCCATTTTCAGATTCAAGGATACACCCAGAACTGGTTTATGCAGTGAGTGTAGGAGAGAGTCCAAATGATAGTAGAAGGATCTGTAAAGGTAGACTGGAGCTACAAAGACAAATTTCACTATTTTTCTGTGGACTGGCCCTTGGGGAGATAGCATTAACACGATCTATCATAATTATCATTTGGAAAATGAAAAATCCAGTGAACCAGCTGGTTTTGTCTAATAATGCCTGACATTTGTACATTGCTTACTATTTTTTACTAAAGCACTCGCTCAATCTTTTTTTTTTTTACTTAATGCTCATAACAGGAGGTGTATAGAACAGGTGTTGCAATCCTCATTTTCCTCATCATCAAGTCAGGAAACTGAGGCCCAGAGACAAGCAGTGACTTACCCAGTGTCTTACAGATGCTTAGTGGCAAAGCCAGGATGAACACTTGGGTCTTATGAACATCCTGTCCATTGCTCTTCTGTCTACATCATTCAGTCTCCACAGTGACAAACCATTTGGGTTCATTTCTCCCCTTCACTGCCCAGTTGAGTTAGCTTTTAAGTAGCCACAGCTTCAGCTCTTGTAAGTGAGCCAACAACAAAGTGAGAAATCCAAGCAACAGCATTGCTTATCTTTCAGTAGTCCAGCTGGAAGAAGTGGCAATGTTAGAAGTGGTAGTCTTGTTCATCGATGGGGCACCAGCAGGGCTTGGGGGTGGGGAGGGAAGGAGAGTGAGATACTCAGTGTCAAGTCCCTTGGACTTGACAGTGTGTTGCCAGGTCCCTGTAGAAGGCCCTGGCTTACCTGCTGTCTGATTGTTGACAAATGGCCTTCTTCATTGGCATGGAATCCCTGGGCTTGGGCTCCTTTGACATCACCCACTCCTCTCTTTGGTCCATATTAGGCTGGAGAAGAGTCAATGTATCTGGCAAATAAGAGTCTTGGTGATCTCAGAATTCTCTTGAAATAGTGGGGATATGAGATAAATTTGATAGGGTTAGGGCATGATAAGAAAATTGAGATACTGGGTAAATGTCATATGTTGGAGACATAGCAGGGTCAATTGAAACTTTTCTTCACGCATGCAAGTGTGTGTGTGTGCTTTTGTGTGTTTGTAGGGCTGCAAGATGTGTGCTTTTGAAGGTCAAGGGATGAGGGCAGATTCAATATGTATTTGTTGAATCACTAAGTCAGTCTCAGATAGGTAGATGGATAGCCACTTGTCGTAGTAGGACTGGAAGGAGGGGCACAGGGTCCAGGGCAGTCACCAGACGTGGTTCATAATTCTAAGATTCCATCAACTAATTTCCAGTCATGTGCTGAGTATTGGCCCTTTGAGGGCTGAATGGATGATAAGTCACAATTGTTGTCTTCAGATATGATCGGTGATTAAAAGATACGGTTGAAAGATAAATAACAATATTTCCTCAATGCTTCAAAAGATCCATGCTTTAATTGATCATTGCATTATAGATTTAGAATCCAATCCTTCATTTTACAGATGAGTAAACTGAGGCTTAGAGGTTAAGTGTTGCATGGGCAGGAAGTGGCGTGACCTAAAATCTACCAGCACAATTCAACAAGCATTTATTAAATATGCAAAGCCTTCTGCTCGGCACTGGAGACCTAAAGACAAAAACTGAATAATTTCTGCCCATCAGAAGCTTACATTTACCTAGAGTTGTAGATAGAGATGAGTGTGGAGGGTCCCGTATCTGGTCCCTTAAGGCAGTGATGTAATGATCAGAAGCCAATAATTTATTTTCTCCTCATCCCTGCCTTCTTGGGTGGAGGGTGGGGGCAATGCCTCATATCACACCTGAATTGTAGGTATTATTGTTTCCAATCATGGTTGATTCTAAAAAGCAGATAGGCTCCTTGAGGTCAGAGAATATGTTTTCTTCTTCTTTTTTCAGCCTCCAGAACATTGTGAGCATAGTAAACAGTGAGTCAATCCTTGTTTAAAGAACACAATGTGCATTTTGATCACCAGAAAGGCTAGGGATGAGTCTATCCTCCGTGGCTGAGGCAAGTCTGGGCTGAGTAAAACTGACAAGTTGGTCATCAGTGTTCCTTCATCACCATTTCTTCTCCTCTCGTCTCCCTTTTGACTTCCTCCTTCCCCACCCAACATGGATCTCAGAGTCCTCTTGTAGACCAGAGTCCCACTACGGCTTTCTCTCCAAGCCTGCCCTCCCCCCACAAAGACTTCTCTGAATTCTTCATAGTATTTTGCCTGGTACTCTCCTTTGAGCTTATCTCATTGTCTGTTATATCATGGTTTATTTGTATACTAATCCTTTCCTTCATTTCAATCAATTATTTAGTCAATAAACATTTATTAAGTACCTACTACGTGCCAGGCAGTATAAATTCCTTGGGAGCAGAGCCTGTGTCTTCAATCTTTGTATCCTTGGCAACCAGCACATAGTAGGTGCTTAATAGTTGTTTGCTGACTGAATGGATGACCTTTGTATCAAGGGCTCCCTCCGCTAAGAGCCTACAATTTGAAGACCTTTCATTTATCTGGCTTGATTTCCATTGCCCAAGGAGAAACTGGTAACTTTGATAACTGGTGTTTTCCCAGTAATAAGGCCAGCTCTCCTTATAAACTCTCAGGTTTTGCTTTCACAATAAAGAACACAGAAAGAACTCACACTTGAGTCTACAGAGAAACCCTTTCCCCTTTATACAGACCTTGGAGAGGGGGATAATCCCTGTGACTCACTACTGTCCCAAGTGGATGTTGAGGTTGAAAGGTAGGGTTATTCTTCTCCATTGCTAAGCTGCTGTATGCTCCAGGGCAATGGCACTTTTTTTTTCTTCCTTAGGCAATTGGGGTTAAGTGACTTATCCAGGCTCACACAGCTAGTGTCAAGTGTTTGGTCTGAGGCCGGATTTGAACTCAGGTCCTCCTGTCTTCAGGGCTGGTGCTCTATCCACTGCGCCACCTAGCTGCCCCTGCAATGGCACTATCATCCTCCAGTGAGGGGGCAGGATGCCTTTGGGCAATTGGAAATAGTCTGTTCTTTTTCACCCAGGTCCCAGATGCCTACCCTATACACAGAGGATTTTCTCAGGTAGTTGTAGAAACACTTCTAACTTGCCTTTCTGGAAATATCTTTATTTACCATCTCCCCCTCCTCCCCTATCAATAGGGCCTGTAGGGCATGCTTCCCTTTTGATTATCACTCATTCAGGGTTTTAAGAGGGATTCATAAAAGCATTTGGGGTCTCTTTTTATTTCCATTTGCTTCCCACCTTTCTTTGGGGTGGCTGAGCAGAGTTCTTCTTAACTGAAGAAAGGAGAAGCTGGTGGGACATGTGACTTAAAGTGTGGACCTTGCCCCTCTAAGGAAAATTCATCCCTGAGGTGTTCACAATATATATATATATATTCCAATTAGCATCTGTACCTTAACTGTCTTTAATGAGTAAGTAAATGTGGAAAGTGTTGACCCTGTGACAGGATAGTAGGAGAAGATTTTATGGTTGAGGGTAGGGATGGAGGCCTTCAATTGTACCTGATAGGTGACAGCTTACTCCAGGACCCTTGGGGCCATCCCACCTCAGGTCCCTTGGAGATCTAATTGGTTCTGCTGAAGGTATTGAGGTTGGTGGCTGGGAGGTATGAAGAGCCCATCCTTGGCCATTCCTTTTCCTCAGGTCCTCCTGAAGAACATGGACAGTGGAGACCTAACAATGTTCTACTATGGTGAATGGTTATCTGAGAGGAAGGGTGAAAAGAAGACGCTGGTCTGCGAGATGTGCGCAGTGATTGATGAGGAAGAGATGATGGAGTGGACATCCTACACTGTTACGGTCAAGACCAGCAACGTTTTTGGTGAGTGTTGGTCCTCTTGGGGAAAGGCTTCTCCTCTGCTAACTCTCTGTCCCCTGCTTTCTTCAAGGCAAGAGTCCTGACTTGGCTTCCTAGCTCCTGTTCAGATCACTTTTGGGGGAGTGACTTTTGAGAAGTTTACACATTTAGAATCATAAAATTTTTGAGCTGGAAGGGACTTTATGGTCTTTTAGCCTAACTCCTTCCTTTTGTTGGCAAGGAAATTAAGGCTCAGAGAGATGATATTATTTATCCATGGACACACAGATAGCAGTGGGAAATGTGAGGCTGGGGCCTTGTTATGCTGATTCCAAACCGCAGGCTCTTTCCATTATACTTATGGCCCCAAACCTCACAAAATAAATAAATGAATAAAATCATTAGTTCCCATGTCTCATGAATGGGAACAGTCTAGCCTCCTTGCTGCTTTCCATTTTCGTTTATCTCATAGTTTGTGCTATTTAGATATTTTATTAGATACTAAGATATTATTTAGATATTAGATATTGACTTCAGTTTCTCTTACCTTGTGGCTGATCTTTAATAAAATTATGAATAAAGTAGACTTTGCCTTCTGTGATCATCACCCCACTCAATGCCTCTCCTAGGCTGTCTGGTATAGTCTACCTTCATGCCCCTATGGTACCTCCTCAATGCCTAGGACCCCAACCTAGACCTGCCCTCTCTGGAGGGTGCACAGTGCTCAAAATCTACCTCCTGTCCTCTCTTCTACCCAAACTCTGGTAAGTTAGTAACATTCAAAAGCTCATATCAAAAAATTCAATAAGGACTTAACATGTTATATATTTGTATTTTAATAAGGAAGAAAGCCTTAACCCAAAAGAATAAAGGTCTAAGGTTGGAATTCTGTGACAGGTAAGCAGGGAAGATATTTAGGAGAGAAAAGCCTTCCTAAACCTCCAAATCATATTACATAGACAGTTTCTAATTATACCTATATATAAGGCTAACCTTATCTGGCAGTGGTCTAACCACATCTAATTTGGCCATGATCTAGTAAGTCTAACCACTGTAGATCAAGAATTTAGCTATTACTATTGATTAGGGAATAGCTAAACAATTCATTTTATAGGGAGACAAAATGCTTCTTTTATTACAGTCAAAGGGGTAAAACTCTAATAGTGGAATTTTAGGTATCTGTAGTATTTAGCTATCTTCCTGATAGAAGCTTTCCTGATACTTGGAAGTCACATGATATAGGCAGCTGTCAATTCAGTCTATACATAAAATCAGCCCTGGGGTGAATTGTGCTTTGGGCTGTTATTTAAGTATTGGTCATAAATTTGCATTGAATCCTCCACACTCCCTTCTCGGAGACCTCTTAAAGCCAATAGCATTTGCAAGAAGTTTGGTTAGAGTCCCAGACCAGGGAGCATAATGAACTAAACTGGTCATCTGGGATTCAGTCATTTGACTTGGACCTTATAAACTGTAGGCCCCAACATGTTCAGCCACAAGCCAGTCTAGAAACAACTCCAGGGTTGGGAAGGGTTCACATCGGAGAGACCTAATTTCAAAGTCATTTATGTGGGCTCTTTGCCATGTCCCTTCAGGAGCTGGCACTGATGCCAACGTGTTCATCATCATCTTTGGAGAGAATGGAGACAGTGGTACCCTGCCCCTGAAGCGATCCAAAAACTTTAACAAGTTTGAGCGCAATGGGACAGACACATTCAGCTTCACAGACATGCTGAGCCTTGGTCATCTCTGCAAGCTGAGGGTCTGGCATGACAACAAAGGTAATTCCCTGATCAGACCCCCATACCAGGGACATGGAGGAGGCCAGGTTATGGCTACTTCCCTGGATGACTCAGTGCTCTGCTCCAAGAAATAGGCAGAGGCCAAGGGTTAGGCACCTAGGGCAGTGGCTGTGAGCAGGCAGTAGAACTGACTGGCTGATTGAAGCTGGTGTAACCTAAAAGCTGGGGGCCAGACTGAGAAGCTGTCTGGGTGCCAACTCATATCATGACCAGGATTCTTGATGTCCTCTAGGAGTGATTATTCCCTAGGATCAAAAGGAAAGAATTAGAAATAGCTAGTGTGTCACAACAAACTCAATGTTTATTCATACCACCTCTCATGTCAGTCTGAAGTCCCTGCGATAAAGCAAATTCCTTCCCTGGCTTCCCCGAGGCAACATCAGTCATAGGAATGAGCACCCATTCCTGGTCTCCATCCTTTAACTGTAAAAGAACTTTAAAAATCTCATTCCAAAGTCACTTCTTTCCTTTATGGCACTAAGTTAAACTAAAGGTCAAGTTCAAATGATTAGAGGCCTTGGTTATGTGCTATAGGAAACAGAGGCACAAGGATAGCTCTGCTTACTTAAATAATCAAAACTCAGTGATTTCATCAGGGTGGGCAGTCTCTCCACTGATGCAGATAGCAGTCCCTCCCTGCTTCACTCAGTAGACAGTTTTGTTTTGTTTTATGTTTTGTGGTCAAAAGAATTCATTACCCCTTGGGTCGATGGGGTGATAAACCTTTCCGAGCTTAGCTAGGCTGTGCCCGGGATGACAGATATACAGTCTATCACTTGGCTTGCACTTGAAGCCTCCCCAGCTTGTGAAGGAATTGATAGTGTTGGCATTCCATTGGTAGAGTCTTTGAAAATTCATAGTTTCCACAGTAAAGAGACAGAATCAGGCTTTCTTGGTGATTTTGCTTACTTCCTTTGTTGGATTTTGTAGAACCTCAAGCATAGAAAAGATACAAACTTTATTCCTCTTAAACAACCTAAGATATAAGCCTAGAAAAATACAAGCCTCAAGTATTTGGGCCGAAGTATTGATCTAATACCTAATATTTCAGTGTTCCCCAATGTGACTTCCTTCCTCTTCCTTCTGCCTGGTTGCCTCTTTCTTTTCTGGTCATCTCTCTATCCTGCCTTTCTACTTGAACACTTAGTGTCCTGTCCCATTTCTGTAATTTCTCTACTACTTGAATTCTGCATTCCTGACCTTGGCCCTTTGGCCTGGATTTGATTTTTGGACTTGGATTCCTGTGTTCCTAACCTTGGCCTATTGATATGACCTAGTCTTGCCATTCTTCCCCTCTTTGGTGTTTGCACATGAGTTCTGTTTTCCTGATATCATTTAGTCATTCAACATTTTTTAAGCACCTCCTATAGGCCAGGAACTGTTCTAGGCACTAGGGATTACAAAAACAAAAATGGCTCCTGACCTTGAGGAGCTTATAATCTACTAAGAGGAAACAATGTACACAGATAATAAAATACAAATATTTACAAAAAAACACAAAAGAATATGGAAGAGGAAGAAATCCCTAGCAACTGGGAGCTTCAGGAAAGGCCTTATGGAAGAGGTGGCACTTAAACAGAACCTTGAAGGAAATTCTAGGAGGCAGAGGTGAGAAAGGAGGGCATTGTAGGCCTGGGAGACAGCTTGGGTTGTCAGAAGCACACAGGCCGGAGATGGAATGTCATAGGCAGGGCAAAAGTAGCAACTAGGCCACTATGCCTGGAATATTAATCTATAACCCTGACCCTCATTAGCATCATTATAACTGCTTCCTAAAGGCCCTTTCCTGGACCAAAACGTGTTCTCCCTCTGGCTGCCACTCTCATAGAGATATATTTAATGGAGATCATCAGCGTATATACTATGTATAGAACAATGCCTAGTTTTATGCCAAATATACCAATTTATCAAAAATGACTCCCAAATGATAAAAAGATAATCTTTTGCTATAATCTTAAGCATGTAAGTTCCACAATTTTTTCTGCAAAGAGGATTACAATGGATTCCTACTCCTAGGCCTAACAGGACATATATCAACACTCAACCATGTGAATATCCAACAAGGGATGGGGGTGGGGAGAGAGAGCAGGGTAGAGAGGGAGAGGAGAAGAGAGAGGGAGAGGAGAGGAACAGAAGGAGAATGCAGCAAGGAGAAAGAAAGAGAGGAAGAAAGAGGGAGAGAACTGAGGCAAAGCTAGGTCTCTATTATTTAGCTTAGCTCCAAATCAGAGCATATTAATAGATTCAAGATAGCATGCAAAGCCTAGAGGGATAAAGCAAGTATTCATTCATGCCAGTGATATGTAAGATAATGTGCTAGATCCTGTGGAGATATTTATATATACATATGTGTGTGTGTGTGTGTGTGTGTGTGTGTGTGTGTGTGTGTATTTTTTTAAATTGGTCCCAGCATTCAGGGTGCTTACATCCTCCTTGGGGAAATAACACCATACTTTGAAGAGGGAAAGACTGACAAACAGAATGTTGGGGAAAGCCTTCAGTCAGGAGGTAGCACCCATCACTGAAAGGAAACTCTTCTAAGTTACCGGTGATCCCTAATAGCAAAATCTGATAGTCTTTTCTCAGTGCCCCTACTTATAGATCTATCTGCTGCATCTGACACTGTTGACCATCTTCTCCTCTCAGATACGTTCTCCCTTCTGGGATTTCATGATATTACTGTCTCCTGTTTTGCTTTCTATCTGTCTGTCCATTCCTTCTCCATCCCCTTTTCTGGCTCTTGACTCATATTACACCCCCAGCCTACGGATATTCCCCAAGGTTCTGCCCTAGGCCCTCTTCTCTTTTCCCTCTATGCACTCTCTCTCTCTCTCTCTCTCTCTCTCTCTCTCTCTCTCTCTCTCTCTCTCTCTCTCTCTCTCTCTCTCTCTCTCTCTCTCTCTCTCTCTCTCTCTCCTCCTCTCTCTCCCTCTTTCTCTCACCATTAGATCTCATGGCTGTGGATTTAACATTCATCTCTATGCAGATGACTGCCAGATCTGACGTCCAGCTCCACTGTCTCCCCTGAACTTTAGGCCCTCATTGCTAACTGCCTATAGACATTTTAAACTGGATGTCCTTGTGACATCTTAAACTCAACATACCTCAAAGTGAACTCGTTATCTTTTCCACAAACCTTCCCCTCTTCCAAACTTCATTATTTCTTTCAAAGACCCCATTCATCCTTCTAGTCACCCAGATTCTTAGTATGGCTTTTCACTTTCCCTCCCTCCATATATTCAATCAGTGGATAAAGCTTTCCATTTTTGCCTCCATAACTCTCATATCTGTTCCCTTATCTCTACTCCCACAACCTCTACCCAAGTTCAGGTCTTCATCACCTCTCACTCAGATTCTTGCAATAGCTTCTTAAATGTCTACCTCAGATCTCTTACCACTCCTGTCTAAACAGTCTACACACAACTGCCAAAATAATTTTCCTTAATTGCTGGTCTGGCTATGTGACGTCTTTATTCTGTTCTCTACTCAAGCCAAGTCTAGGGGTTCCTATTGCTTCTAGGCTAAAATGTAAAGTCCTCTGTTTAGTTTTTAAAGCCCTTTACAACCTGACTCCAACCAATTTTTCCAGCCTCCTTTGACACCACTCCCCTTCCTGTATGCTGCAACCCAGCCAAGCTGGTCTTCTGTCTGTTCTTCACACACCATGCTCTATCTCCCATCCCCATATCTTTTCCCTATCCTTTCTACATGCCTCATATGCACTCCTCCATCTCACAGAGTCCCTCTCTTCCTTTGCATGCACCTCAAGCATCATCTTCCGTATGAAGCCTTTCCAGATCCCTCCAACTACAACTACCCTCCCACCCAAACTACCTTATCTTTAACTGCTTTGGATACATTTGTATTTATCCACTTTATATTTGTTTTACACATACTTATATATTTACCTTTTGCCTCCTCCATTAGACTATAAGCTTCTTGTGAGTTGGAATTGTTTCAGTCTTTGTACTTGTGTGCCTAATGTGGTATCTTACACACAGTATGTGCTTTAAAAACCCTTTTTGATTGCTTGATTAAACTGAGTATTGAAAGAAGTTAAAGGTTCTAAGAGGCAGAAATGAGAAGAACATTCCAGGTTGTGGGGTGGCAGCCAGGGCAAAAGCAGAGATGGGGGACTGAATGTCAAAGTCAGGAAATAGGGACATAAAAGTATAGGAAAGAGAGTAACGTGAAATAACTCTGACGAGGTAGGGTACAGATACATTGTGAAGGGCATTCAATGCTAGACTCAGGTGTTTTATCGTAGTGATAAGGATCCCTTAAAGAAGCTTGAGCCAGTGAGTGAGGTGACCAGATGTCTCTTTTAGGCATATTCATTTGGCAGCTATTTGGATGAAGGAGAGGAACAGGAAACAGAAGATGGATTGGGGAACTATTACAATAAGTCCAGGCAAGAAGGGCTGAGACCCTGAACTAGGGTACTGACTGTGTGAGTGGAGAGGTGAGAGGTACCAGATGCAGTTTGAATTTGGGGCCTGAGGGGCCTTGACACCTCCTACAGCTGGTAGAGCTGTCTCTGACCCCTGCACTGTGGTCTTCCATATGCGCTGGCATGGTCTTCCATACACTCTGACAAGTCACTTCACCTCTGTTTGCCTCAGTTTCCTCCTCTGTGAAATGGGAATAATAAAAGCACCTACCCTCCTAGTATTGTTGTGAGGATCAAATGTGATAATAATTATAAAGCGCTTAGCATAGGGCCTGGCACACAGTAAGCACTACATAAATTAGCATCTCCCAGGAGTCACACCCAATAACGAGTCACCCTCTGAACTGCCAGTCTTCTCATTCCTGGCATTTATCTTCCAATCTCCCCTATTTTTCTGGGTCTTTGTCAAAAGGCTGGATAAATTATAAGTCTGAGTTTTGTTCCAATTAATCTTGTCCTCCCTCTTTCCCTTCTGAAATGAAAACCTCAGAGAAGGGAATCCAGCTTATGACTTAATCATAAAACGTGT